CGTGTATCGGACCGGTTGCACTGTGTCACGATGCTTTGTCTCCCTCTGTATGCCCCAGCACCTAGTGCTGTGGCTGGCACGATAAGCAGGAACATTGGTTAGGCAGTTGCTCCGGTGTCCGCTCCCTGCTAGGCTGATTACGGAGAAGGACAGTTCCTGACCTCTAGGAGGATCGGATGCTTAATACGCGATTAAATGATTCATGCGGCAGCTGCCCTCGGTGCCCCGGGATGCTCAGAGCTGGGCGCAGACGGCTTCCTGGGGAGGCGGGCTTAACTAGATCTGTAGGCGAGTGTCAGAGGTGGGCAGGGGGCGATGAGATTGGAGGAAATGGGGAGACGTCGAGAGTGGAGGGCCTCCTTGGGTCAGTTTAGGACCTTGAATTTTTTCCCAGAGGCAGCGGGAAGCCAGGAATGTTTTCTAGGCCAGAGTTTGCACTTTATAGGTTAAACAGATATCATCCTCCCCTTTCTTCGAGGCAGAGCCTGAGACCTCAGGGATCGAGTCAGAGTCATTCAGCCAGCCAGGCCTTGGCCTCCGGGTGGGGGCCTATTCCCAGTAGTCCAGCATTCCCACTGTTACGTGGACCCCATTTGGAAGCAGAAGCAGACTTAGAGTGACTTAGATGACCGTGACCAGGACTGCAGTGCCGGCAGTAGAGAGGAATGGTCAAATGTGAGAGATCTGTAAAGACAAGATTTCACAGTTTTGAAACAAGCAACGGGTTGTTCCTTAGAGTAATAATGTGTTCGTGTTTATCACAGACAGTTCAGCTCCCCTTGGTGAGAAGTGACTGCTGCGTCCTTGCTTTGGGGACAAGTTTTTCAGGAAATGCCGGAGCCGCGCAGTCTGATTTCTTGGGAACCCTCAGTGCCTCCCCACTACTATCTCCGGGGGGGGGGGGATGGGGGGGGCGCTGAGTATGAATATGCAGACACTTCTTGGGTGTTAACGCTGGAGGAATGAAGCAAAGGATCCTGTGGAGGGTTTTTGGGGTGATTGAAAAGTTCCCGATACAAGCAGAGTAATTCCAGTTTTGGGTTCTGGAGAGAGTAACCGCATTCGGATATTTTTAAACGGCCAGTGGAGTTGGGAGAGAGTCTAAACCCAAAGTACAAATTTTCGGTTTAATTTTAACTTTGCACTTAGCTCACACCCATGGTTTGGCGGGGAGAATGGGCCTCACTTTTTTTTTTTTCTTTTTTAAGCAGAATACACCCTGGATGTAAAAGGGACGTTCTCTTCACATGGAAGGGTTTGCAGCAGCAGCAGCAGCAGCAGCAGCGAGCAGAGATGGGAGGAAGCGGGCTGGAATTGCAGCAGGGTTTCAAAGTCAGTTTAAGGAAGGTTGGGGTGGGTTTGACGTTTTGAAACACGTTAGCCTGCCCGGGAGCTGTAAGAAAGCGTGGGCTTGTGTGGAAGCAGGTGGAACAGGGGGTGGACGGCATACCTTCCACAGGTCAGCTTTTGGGCTGGAGTTTTTGTTTTTTCCTGTTTGGTGCATTACAGACACTTCACAGGCTGCTTACTTGCCATACCCGATGTGACTCGTCACCTCACAGAGAGGCAGTGGGTTTCCCCCGATGTGGTTTGGCCTCTCTGACGCAAGCCTCAGCCCACCCCTCCCCTCTTTGATCTCTCCCCAAACTGTGCTGAAACCCCGCCAGGAAGGAAATGCAGAAACCATGGGGATCCCGGAGGCCCCACAGACCTGGAGCAGCCACCTGGACTTCCAGACACCACAGGCTTTCCCTCCCGAGTGATGGGAAGCAGCCTCTTTCTCCTTGGGGAAGAGCGGGGTCTCAGGCCCCCGGGCCCCTCTCCAGATCCTCCCCCACTGACTGCAGTGTCATTGGAACGGGGGCTGGGTTAAGTTTTGTGCTTTGGTTACCGAGGAAGTGTAACCAGGGTGGGACCGCTGGGAGTGGCCCCCACTCGCCGGTGGAACAGTTAGAAGAGGGGCCGAAGGGGGTATAGGTGCCGTCAGGGTAGCTTGTAGGATCAGTTGGGGGTCTGCAAGAGCCTGTGCCCTGCACTTGGGAATAGCAGGGAAACCCTCCTTATCTTGCGGCAACACTGACCATCGGGGTCCATTAGATACCCTCCTATGCCCATTCCTGGGGCTTTAGGATCTGTGGTTCAGATGTGGCTGTAAAATGGGAGAATACCCCAGGAACACCCTGTGGAGCGATTGTGAGGGTTAAATGAGACAGTGCCTTTGAAGAGTGTGCCTGCTAAGGGCTCTGGAAAGAGCCCATGATTGTTGACAATAAAAGCATTAGTAGTGGTGGCTTGCATATTGTCCCCGAGAGGAATGGCCACCAGTTTGGGCATGGTGCTGGGAGCTGGGGCTGGAACCTTGGGTCTGTCTGTAGAATTCCCAGGCAGCATTGTGCCTCTCCGGGACAGAGGCTGACTTCCAGGAGGAATTCCCTTGACTCCACAGCACCATCTCCCCCTGTTACTGAGGCCTCCTCCTTGGCTGATGGCCGTAAGAGGAGAAGCCCTTGACCCACCTAGAAAAACCACATGTCTGAAATCTTTGAGGGTGGACTGGAAACCCTTCTCATACTTGTCTTTCTTTGGTGGAGCTTAAACAATTCCCAGGGCCTTCCAAGGAAAGGAGTGACTGAAGGAGCCACTCCAGTGGCTGTGTGACCCCAGCAGTAACTGCAAACGAAGGGGAGGTGACTCTCCCTCCCCCCGGGAAAGTTGCTCTCCCTCCACTGCTCCCCTAAGTAAGGCCTGGTTTCCTGGCTCTACACTGATTTCCTGCCCTAGGGCAGAAGGCCTCATGGGATTTATTCCCAGGCACACTTGCAGTGACCTTGAGAAAGGTGGCTTGACCTGGACATTCCCTCCCCTGGGGACTGAGAGAGTGGGAAAGAACTTAACTTCCCCCATCCCAGATCCAAGGGAAAGGTGGGCCCTGGCGCTGGTGCTTGAGCCGAGAGCTTGCTAGCTCTGGGTGAGAGCTGCCTCGCCTGGCTTTGCCCCTCCTGGCAAATTGCTGCAGTCCTAGACTGAGCAGGCTCTCTCTCTCTCCACCAGGGAAGAAGAAGGCAGGGCAACTACAGGGTGCTGTGGCCCAGACGTGCCCCGAGCGCTCCTGGTCTGACCACTGGCAAGGGTGGACTGAGGAGGGGCACAGCAGCCTGCTGTGGGTTCTGTTCCCCCAGGTTGGCCCAGGGATGCCCGAGTAGGAGGACCACTGAGACAGACGGTCATCCTGGGCCGTGCAGGAAGAAGCTGGGCAAATGGGCCTGCTGAGAGGCAGGGAGCAGCCCTGGACAGGGACTGCTTAGAATAGGCCTGTCTGCTTATCTAGGAGGAGAAAAGCCTGCTCCCTGCCTCTCAGCAGGAAATGACAATGCAGGGCTGCTATGGAGAAGGACGGGCCTGTACCGAGTGACCCATGGGTGAGAAATCCGAACCTGTGGGTGGAAGTCCCAGGGAGGCATCATATCCAGGTGACGTCAGTACATGTTTCCTGGAGGCTGCAGGGAGGGGGCACGTGGAGATGCTGTGTCAAGCACCAGGTGCAGCCAGGAGGGATCACCTTTAAGGTGCCTGCCAGCCCTGGAAGGCCAGGGAGCAGCCCTCTGTCAGCTCAGGACAGGAGTGGATAACTCTGGGCATCTCTCTGGAGGGCCAGGCAGCCTGGCGTCCCTTGCTGACTCCCCTGGGTCATTTCAGGCCTGAGACCTGAGGACTCTTCCTCAGCCTGTCTCCCTGCCATCTGCGCTGGAACCTGCAGCCAGGTCTGCCTTTTAACAACACAGTGAGACGGTAGCTCTTTATCAGCTCTTTCTATCTCATTTGAAATAAGGATTTAGGGCCCAAATTTTGAGTAAGAAGAGAAGAGAGGGGAATCTAAGAACTCTAATAGGGCAAAACCACCTCCAGGGAGTTGGCGGGGGCAGGCAGGGCCACAGAGGTGCCTCCAAAGACTAACTTTTGGACTTTGCCAACCTCAGCATTTCTATATGGGTCCATCCTGGGTTTGTGGATATCCATTCTCTCCTTCCATATCTACTCCCAGGACCCTGAAGAGCAAAGTCTAGAGCCATGATATTCCATATGGTAATTTACATGTGCCTCTTTACACTTATATTGATTAAAACTAAATAAAATTTGGGACTCTCTGGCAGTCCAGTCAGTGGTTAAGACTCTGCGCTTCCACTGGTTTGACCCCTGGTTGGGGAACTAAGATCCCACGTGCTGTGCGGTGTGGCCAAAAAAAGAAACCAAGTAAATAAAATGTAAAACTTAGTTCCTCAGCCTCACCTCGGCAGCCACATGTGGCTAGTGGCTCTTCTCTTAGTTGGGTTTCCATCGTCACAGGAAGTTCTGTTGGTTCTGGTGGACAGCGCTGGTCTAGAGGATGGAGAGTTGGAGGGGTCCCTGGTCTGTGACCCTTACAGTGGGGCCAAGTGGTGAATGCCAGGCCGGATGGGCAGGCTCTGACCGTGGTGGCAGGGGCAGGTACGAGTGCAGGCAGACGGGGACGTCCTGGGAGCCGTCCACGGACACATGGAGGTGAAAGGCCCGTGGGGGGCTGAGGAGGCGAAGTCGTAGGTAGCTGGCCTCAGTAAGACGGTCAGGCGGGGCCGTGGTGGGCGCTGGGAGAGGGGCTCTGATGGAATGGCAAGGCCGAGAGGTTGCCAACAGTGTTATGGCTGGTACAGTGGGGAGCTGGGGGCTGAGGTGTGGCGGTAGGGTTGGAACGAGACACCGCCCCCAGCCTTGCCGACAGCAGCGGGGCTTATTGCGTTTGTCTTCTCCAGTCCAGCCAAGGCTCCTGTCCGGAGGGGCCCCCTGGTTCTGCAGCTCCGTTCACCGCAGCGCTCCCCTAGATCCCCCCAGCATTGGTAAAGGCAGAAAGATCAGGGTGGGCGCTGGTGCTGCGATGCTTCCTGGCCTGCCTCCTGCCCTCCCCCTACCCCGGCCTCGGTCCCGATTCCTCTCCCAGTTGGTTCACGCCCTCCTTCCCTTTCCAGGTGAAAGAGCTTGTCCTGGACAACTGTCGGTCAAATGAAGGCAAAATCGAAGGCCTCACAGATGAATTTGAAGAACTGGAGTTCTTGAGTACAATCAACGTAGGCCTCACCTCAGTCGCAAACTTACCAAAGTTAAACAAACTTAAGAAGGTAAATAGAGCGGAGGAGCGTGTGTGCTTGGGAGGCCGGGCTGGGGAGGAGGAAAGGGTCATTGTTCCACATTGAGGGAGCGTAACTGAAGGGGGGAGGCCAGGTGCGAGCCCCAGCACGCCTGCCAGGTCCTTAGCCAGCTCCCTTCCTGGCCTGTCTGCGGGGAGCCGGCCGCCTGAGCCCAGAGCCTTCATTTTAAAAGCCGTTTCTGCTTTTTCTCTCCCTGCCTCTTTAGCTTGAACTAAGCGATAACAGAATCTCAGGGGGCCTGGAAGTATTGGCAGAAAAGTGTCCGAACCTCACGCATCTAAATTTAAGTGGCAACAAAATTAAAGACCTCAGCACAATAGAGCCACTGGTGAGTCATTGGGGTCCTCCCCTCTCCACTGGGGTGGGAGGGATTGATATCAGGGAATACTACTTTTGCATTTGTATAACATGCTTTTTTGTTTTTACTCTAATCGTGTGCCATGAGATAGAGTTGGGGCTCCTACTTCTGGTCCGTCCGTAGAGAAACTGAGGCCTAGAGAAGTTAAAGAGCTTGACCAGGGTCGCACAGTTGGAATGGGCATCAGGGTGAAGGATGCTGTAGGACCCAGGTCTCAATTTCTGGTCTAGTGCTTTTCTTCTTATAGTTTCTGCTCAGCTTTGGAAACCCGAGCTGTCATTTCTTTAGGCTTAGAGCATGGCTTGTGCCCTTCTCTGGGGAGAGAGGAGCCATCCGGGAATTAAGCTGACCCTGGAGGTGGTCACCTGCTTTCTCCTTGGGTCACTGGCCAGAGGCTAGCACCTCTGAACCGTGGAAGGTGGGTTGGTCCTGACACAGGCCCCCTGGGATGACAGAGAGCCGTGTGGCACGGGAGCCCCATGCAGGCCTTCCCCTGTGGGGCGTAGAGAAGAGGGACCCTGGTCACCGGTCCTGGGTGTGATGGTGACCAGGGACTCAGAGATCTGGGCCGCATTTCCTCCTCCGCTGGTCCACATAGAGCTGAGCACACCCCAAACCTCACGATTCACTAGTCAGAAAGGGGCAGGCCGTGGTTCATGGTTAGAATAACAGTTTCTACATTACCCAGACCTGAATGACTGTATTCCCTTGACTTCAGAGAAGTCAACTGTAAGATGTATCACTGATTCATGATAGCTTTTTTGAAATGTAGAAATAACTACCGCATTAAATTAACACTTATTGTAAATATATACGTAAGAATTACTTCCTAAGCCATGCACCTTAGGATCAGGGAAAGGCCGTGGGGATATTTGGCCAAGTGTGCCACGCCTCCCTTTTCTGGGTATATAGAGTGGCAGTTGGGACATCTCTCAGTTTGTGTTCTTGTCCAAAACGCGTTCCTTGCCCTTCGTGGATGCTTGAAGGGCAGCTTGATGGGCCAGCGTGGCAGAACGGGAAGCTGGCATTTCTCCTCCCAACTCAAGACTTTACCTGCTCACCTGTGGCCTGGGGTCAGCTACTAGACTGTGCTTCCCATTGAACTTTCTTTCAGGTCTTCTACCAATTTCCTTGGGGAAAGCAAAGCTATTTTGATCTACCTGGAAGCCTTGATTTCATCATTTCATTGTAAAAGGAAAATATCTTTGAAGTTCTGTAAATGTGTGTTTCAGTTGAGATTTGGGTACCATTATCTCTCTCTCTCTCTCTCTCTCTCTCTCTCCCCCCCTTGCCCAGACCACACATTTTGTACCTTCTTCCCTGATTATCAGTGTGATTAATGTGTTTTACTCACTTCTGAGGGTGGGGGAACCGCCTTTGGTTGGGAGATGCTGGCCTCACCTACCCAGTCCGCAGCTCGGACTCCTTCCCTGCCCTTGACCCTCTGCTGACAATGACCGGGTCTCAGTCACGAAATCTCAAGAGAGCAGCCTCATTCCTGACATTGACCCTGAGGGACAGTAGCCTTAATCAGCAGTTATGCCTGGCCCCACTGGAACAGGGACTTGGCCCGGGGTGGGGTTCCTGCGCCTTGAAGACGTGTGAGGTAGGAAGTCAGGAGGCAGCTGTTTCTTGCTAGATGTATGACCATTTTGCTTCCTGGGCCTCAGATTCCAGCCACCAAGTGGGTATAATATAGGCCTAGAACCCATCGATACATAAAGCTTTGATAAAGCCAATTGTGTTAAGTACTATGGACAAAATCTGGATGCTTCACTGGTTTTTCTCTTGTCCTTTTTGACAGGCAAAGAGTAAGAGCCCAGGTCTGAAGTTGGGCTGCCTGATCAAATCCCAATTCTCTGCCCTCTACTTCCTTGTCTGTAAAATGAACGAATAATTATTTCTGCCTTATCGGGGTCATGAGGATAAATTGAGTTAATCCATAAAGTGCTATGTTAATTGCCATTATTATTATTATTCATAGAAGGAGGTAGTTTGTTAGTTCCTGTGGCCTTTTCAGTTCCTCTCTGGCTCCTTAGTCACAGGGGCAGGCAGCAAAGCTCCCGGCTTATGCACCAAGAGAGCCCCGGGTTAATTTCAGGTGCGCGTCACTGTTACGGCAAGAGCTGTAATTGCAGAATAAAAGTGTTGGCATCGTATGAGGCTTCGAAGATCCTCAAGTCCAACTTCCCATCTTCCACGTGAATGAACATGAGGCCCCCCGACCAGGGCTGAGACGGCCGGGCAGGGCCAAACCAGAGTGCGCTCATCACCTGTGAGCGTGGAGCTCTGCACGCCGTCTCACCTCACCCCCGTCTGTCCCCCCACCCCGCCTCCCACGCCGCTCACTGTCAGCTTTGTTGTTTGCTTGCAGAAAAAGTTAGAAAACCTCAAGAGCTTAGACCTTTTCAATTGCGAGGTGACCAACCTGAACGACTACCGAGAAAACGTGTTCAAGCTCCTTCCTCAGCTCACGTATCTCGATGGCTACGATCGGGACGACAAGGAGGCCCCCGACTCGGACGCCGAGGGCTACGTGGAGGGCCTGGAGGATGACGAGGAGGATGAGGATGGTGAGTGGCGCCAGGGAGAGGCCAGGCCAGGCTTTATGGGGGGGCGGGCTGGGTGTCAGGGGGCCCCCACCGGCCCCCGAGGGCTATCGACCTCTTTCTAGAACTGTGGAGGGGAGTGGGCTGTCTGCTCTGTTTACTGTTGTCCCTGGTCTGTCTCATTGATTGATGCCCCTAAAACAGGGCCTGAGCCCCAGAGAAACATCCTGAGGTTCTCCAACTGCATAATAACTCCGTAAAAACCATCTGAGTCTTCCTTCAATTTTTTTCCCTTTTCCAAAGTCCCCCTGAAAATGAGATCCTACAGTGTGTCTCTCTATAGTGTGGTGCTGGACTCAAGATACTCTTCCAGGGAGGGGATGAGCGGATGGAGGAAGGTGGGGTGTGGCCTGAGGGTCCCCTCTCTCCATCTAGGGTCCGGTAGTGGAGATGAGGTCACGGCTGGAGAGGTCGTGGGGCCCCCAGCTGACTGCCGCCCACGGGACCACATGGTAGGACCTGGGGGATGAGGACTCAGGAGCCCCAGGGGCCCAGGAAGCAGAGGAGGCTGCAGGCAGCACGTTGGGCTCCCTGGTGGTGCGGTGAGCAGTCAGGGACCACAGGAAGGAAAGAAGGAAAAGGAAGGAGAGCCTCGCATTTCCTTCCCACACTGCCAGCTCAGTGTGGCTTCCCTGCAGGTCTTTGTGGCCAGAGTAAAGTTGAGGGTTGAGACCTTGCCTGAATAATTCAGATGTAAGAGTGCTTTTCCCTTGTTAGGTGGGAGTATTTTACAAGGGATTCAGACACCCTGTTTGCCTTAGTTTGTTCCATCTTGTGATGGGACAGAAAGGTCCCAGGACTGGAGCCCTGAGACCAGGCTTCTAGGCCCAGATCTGCCGCTAACTCCAGGTGTGACCTTGAACAACTCACTTCTCCCCCTCTGGGACTCAGTTTCCTCACCTTCAGGGCAGCGCGTTTGGCTAGATGCTCTTTGTGAATGAATTGACTTCTCAGCTGTCCCAGGCCTGTAACTTGGTTCTCTGATCCGGCATTTTCTCTCCCATCTCAGCCTCCACGAGAGATCGTTTGCTTTCGTAATACTTGGGAGGAGGGCTTACTTTAGGATGCGTTCAGTCACATTAGAGCATCCAGGCCGTGGGCCTGGACGGGCGTGGGAGAGTCGTGGGCCCCACACCTCTGGTGCCAGGCCCTGGGCCTGTGCTGTGGGAGGGAAGGGCCAGCTCACCACCAGTTTGTTCTTGTCCCCATTCCCACTGCACAGAGGAAGAGTACGATGAAGATGCTCAGGTAGTGGAAGATGAGGAGGACGAGGAGGAGGAGGAGGAAGGTGAAGAGGAGGATGTGAGTGGAGAGGAAGAGGTGAGAGGTTGGGCTGGGCAGGGAACCGTCTCTCAGAGCCCCCCTCACCTACCCTGCTGCCTCTGAGTCAGTCCCACTAACTGCCTCAGTGATCCGCCTCGGCAGCCGGGAGCCCTGGCTGGGAATTGAACCCACTTCAGGGCCTGTTACTGGGTTGGTCTGGGAGAGGCAAGCCTTGCAGCTGGCCCTGGAAAAGAAAGAGGGAGGGGATTCATCTGCTGGGGCAAGCCTGGCACTTGTTTCCACATGAAAATTAGTTCCTGTAGAATCCACATCCCCTTTTTCTACCTCTTTGCATTAGTATGTTAATTCAGATATTCAGTGAGCACTGACAGTGTGCTAGGGAAAATCAAAGACTGCCTTGAACTGGTGGGTAATAGGATAAGACGCTGCTGGATTCCACATCAGAGGGTGACAAGGGTCCCCTGTACACAGTGGATAGTGCCATTATCCAAACACTGTCTGGCATCATTTTTTAACAAGGTCTGGGATGTGTCTGTGACGGGGTGGATCCCAGCTTCTACCACTTGCTAGCTGGGTGTCCCTGGACAAGTTCCTTGACCTTCTGAACCTATTTCCTCATCTGTACAATAGGTGTCATTTTACAGCTGGGTTGTAAATAGGGATCAACTCACTGGCTTAAGAGGATAAAGTAATTTGTAAGTAAAATGTTTAAGGACAAGGGAGTGTTTGCCCACTTACTATTTTAGGCTTTCACACCCTTCTCCCAGGTCCTGGCTCTGTGTGCTGGGTTTTGTGTTTGGACGTTCTGAGTCTTTCTATAGCAGAGTCATTTTCCCTGGCTTTTTAGATTTCTAAATCAACTCTTGCTAATTGCAAAACTTAGACCGAGAGAGGTTTAAAATGATGACAGCATGGATAAGGTACCTGCCTTCTCCCCCAGTTCCCTGTCTCTCTCCATCAAGGGCACAGATACCTGTCTGCCACACAGACCTGCTCAGGCGGGATCTCCCAGCCAGCCCCCCACAAGCTGGGGAGAGGCAGGTCGGGGTTAGTGAGAAAACTGGTGAGATAGGCCTGGTTCCCGTCAAGTTGTGCTGCTGGGTGTCTCTTCTACCCAGGTGTAGGCTGCTAGGCTCACCTCTGAAGAATATTGTGTATTTTAAAAATAGAGACCTAGCAGAATAGGCCCCCCCCTAGGACAGGGCAGTAAGTCTTGCTGGCTAATGGATTTTTCGTCTTGCTCTTCCTGTCAGGAGCCGCCAACATGTAGAGGTTGTTTTTGGTCTGGGGTCGGTTTTTTGTTGTGGTGGTGGTTTTAGTAATCTCACTGAGTATCTGCAAATTTCCAGCTTCCAGTAAAGGAGCGCTCGCGCACACGCGCACACACACACACACACACACACACACACACTCTCTTAGCAAACAGACTGATTAAGGAACTATTTGGTGACATTATGAAAGGATATTTCCCTTGACAAAAAGAAGTCTATTGCCAAGTTCTTATTAAACAGTGGGCTGCCTGGTACTTTAGGAACAGTATTCATGCAGAGATTCAACTAGCCTGGATCTACCGGACCAGCGTGAAGCGTGGTCCTGTGTTGAGGGTGAATTCACACCCCTTGCTGAATCTCACGGAGCTGGGAGTGATGTCCTGGGCAGGGGGTGAGAATTGTATTTTTCCTCCCTCCAAGTGACCCAAGTTTGCAAGACGGTGAAGGGGCTGCACTCACCCACAGACTGGGGTCTGGACTGGGGTCTTCTCTTGAAGCCAAAACTAGAGTGAGGACAGATGAAAGCTCGGCCTACTTCACACGATGGAGAGTCGGCTGGGAAACTTGTTCCCCTAGGAGGGCACACTGCGGAGCTGCCTGAGTTATAGGGACTTCAGGTCAGGAATTCTTAACGGGGGATAGAATCCACCCCCCTCTGCTGACACTGTGTGCAGATATGGTGTGTAATGTGGGTATTTTCTAGGGAAGGGGTTCAAAACTTTCTACAGATTCCTAAAGGGGGGTCCTTGATACAAAAGAACTTCTGCTTTAGGTTCACCGGTGCGAAGCCGGTCCGTGGGAGCTCTGAGGGGCTGGGGGCGGCCCCTACCTTTCTGAGCTCGGTGTCAGGGAAAGTGGCATCCTCCACGTGTCCCACGGTCGGGGCGTTCCTAATGTCCGGTGTCCATCTTCTCTCCTAGGAGGATGAGGAAGGTTATAACGATGGGGAAGTAGACGATGAGGAAGATGAAGAGGAGCTTGGTGGTACGGCAGCGTTTTTACTCTCCGTGGGTAGCAGGCTGGCCCCCTCAGTTGACAGTAGATGGCCTGGGTCCTGAGGACCTGGCCTTGGTTTGCCAGGGTTGGCAAAGCGTCCTAGACATACGGTCCCCTGCTTTACCAGCGGGGGGGGGGGGGGGGTTGAGTAGGAGGCGGGATCCGTGTTTAATCTGAATGCCTTTTCCTTACTCTTCCAGAAGAAGAAAGGGGTCAGAAGCGAAAACGAGAACCTGAAGATGAGGGAGAAGACGATGACTAAGTGGAATAACCTATTTTGAAAAATTCCTATTGTGATTTGACTGTTTTTACCCGTACCCCCCCAAATCCCGCTCCCCGAAACTTATTTTTTTCTGATTGTAACGTTGCTGTGGGAACGAGAGGGGAAAAGTGTACTGGGGGTTGTGGGGGGAGGGAGGGGGGAGGGGGTGGAATAAAATACTATTTTTACTGCCACTCTTTATTTTTTTCCCCTACTTTTTCTTTGTGTCTGTTTTGTCCCTGATAAATTTGCGATAGCTGAGTACACACACAAGTGAGCGTTTGTTCCTTACCCTCAAAGAGGACGGTTTGGAGATCTCTGACATTTCCTGGTATTTCCCGAGTCTCTTGAGTTGGTTGGAAGGCCATGGCTGGCCTCAGTTTGGTTTCTCAAAGCCCAGGAGGGGCTGAGCACCAGCCGCATCTTACCTCTTGTTCTGGTTCTCGTGATTTCCGCATTTCTTGGGCCTGCTAGAGGCAGCCAGCGCCCTGGTTTGTAAATAGCAACCTAAAGGCGTATTTTGGCACTGGTCGGGGGATCTTCCCCGTCTCCCGTCCCCTTTCCCTCTTCACAGATGGCGGTGGGCTCCACTGTCCGAAGAAGGCTCTGGTGTCGCTCTTGTGATGAGCCAGAGAGCTGAGAGCAGCAGGCTTCTGAGTTAGGAGTAAAATGGATTTGGTAATTCTAATTAAAAGAGAAGAAGCAAACCCTCAAACTTCAACCTCTTTCAAAGATTAAAAACAAAACTGTCCTATCTTGTTCTGTAAAATATTAGAACGCTTTGTTTTACAAAATGACAAGAGAATTCTTCTACATGTCCTTCTGTGCTTAGACCATTTTTACAAACCTAAGCACAGGAGACGCTGCTGCATGTCGGCTGGGTTTTTTTTTCATACACCCGAGCACGGAAAAACTAACGCAAAATTGTATTTTCTTACCTAGTGGAAATCTGAAATGACTGCAAATTCCTAGCGAATGTACAGGTTTGCTTTCCTGTCCCTCTTCTGGATTGCTTTTGAAGTGACGTGTGATTCCTTAGCCCGTGTTTCATCTGTATAAAAGAACATCTGCACCGGTTTTCCTCCCCCTCAGAAGAGCCAAACTTTGAGTTTTATGTCTGTTTGTCATTGATAAATTTCAATAAATCTTTTTATACAATTTTTTTGGGGGTGGCTTCTTTGAGTCCAACAGGTCACTGATCTAGGATGAATTCCAGATAACCTGCTAGCTGATGGGGGTGGAGGGGTGAGCTTCACATTGGTTACCTGACAAAATCGTCTTTCTTACAGGATATATAACCTGATACACTAAGTTTGGATACTTCGGGTCTCAACTTGAGACTCAGTGGTGTGCTATCTTCATTAAAAACTTCATTTGGGTGGGGAAGTGGGGGTGGTGATGTAAAGAGAGAAAGATATAAAAAGAGTTATTAAAAAACACTCACCAGGAAGGCCAGCCTTGGGACCGTACTTTGAATATCTTTCATCGTTTTGTTGTTCAGACTAAAAAGAATACAGGAAAACCTGAGGAATGTACAAAACAAATTTGTTCCTTTTTTCACTTAACGTTAATTATAATTTCTCTACCTCTAAAGAGTCTTCACAAGCATGTATCTGAAATGGCTATGTAGTAGTCCATTAACTATTCTGATTTGCTTAATTCTAACCAAACGGTAAGATGTTTGGGTTATTTCCAACTTACCACTAGACATTCTGTTATACTTTGCAGAGTCACTACACCAAAAGGTGACATTTATAAGGCTCATGTGCAAGGTTCCATGTTTTCCAGAAGGGTTATACCAATATACCGTGGTAATTTATACCCATATATTCATTCTCAGCCGTATGGCCTTGAACCCGACAGCAAGCCCTAGATCCTGTGTAATTCCAGCAGAATGAAGTGTTCTCAGGAGAGACTGACCCACCCCACCCCCCGGGTAGCACCCTGACACCTACTGCCCTCTTCTTTGGAGCAGACAGACATCCTCTGGCTCCAGGTGTAGGCTTGGGAGGGGGCCTTGAGGCCAGGTCCTATGCTAGGCATCAGGACTATGAGGACGAACTGGCCAGGCATGCTCTGACCCTCCCAGAGCTGGTGAAGGAACATGGCAGTGGAGTGAAATCCAGAGGCACTCAAGCCTGGACTCAGGTTTTCTGGCCCTGACTCCATGGGGACTTTAAGGATTGGTTAACTTCACGTAGATATGGAAATAAATGCTATAAAATGTAAGGTAAAATGGGTGATGAGGGATGGGTTCATGCTGATGGGACCAAGGGAGGAAAACCCTATCTATGTCAGTCATATCAAGCAGTTACATCAGCACCTGAGATACGGTCTTGTGCCCATTTTACTGATGAGGAAAACCTAGGTCCAGTGACTTGGAGGTAAGAAGAGGGGGAGGCAGGGTTAAACCTGTTTGGGCTATTTCCATTTCATCGAACTTAGCCACGAATGGCAAGGAGGAGGGGGAAGCTCATCCAGAGGAGGAGAGGCAGTAAGAGCTGACCTTTATTGAGTTCTTGTTGTGTGCCGGGTATCAGGCTTTACGTGCAGCATCTCATTCATTTGAGATGAATCCTCACAACCTCCTTAGGTGGGTGCCATCGCCCTTGTTACACAGGTGGCTCAGAATGTGATTGGCCCAAGGTCCTGCAGCCCGAAAAGAGCAGCATCAGTAATAAACTAGGGGTGTGTGGTTCCAGCACCAGCCCTCTTGCCTTCTACTAGAGTGCCTCCTGTCGACTCCTCCCCCAGCTGCAACCACCTGTGTGGGCCAGCTGTGTTGAAGCAGTTCCTCACCCCCTGCCCAGCACAGCCCCGGTGACAGGTTTCCCCACCGGGTCTAGCGAATGCCACAGGATGGACCCCTGAAATGGAAGGGCCCTTAGAAACCACCTAGTCATCAACCAGCCCTCTCATTTGATGAAAGAGGAAACCAAAACCCAGGGAGCGTAAGTGACGTGCCCAAGGTCACCCCGCAAGGCAGTGCCAGAGCCCAGCTGGAGCCCAGGACTCCCATTCCTGGGCTTCTGAAGCACCACATCTCTCGCAGCTGCACCGTGTGGCTGCAGGGAAGCCAGCTGTCATGAGATGCAGAAGGCACACAGTGTAGTGTCTTCCAGAACACAACCAAGCCTTGGGGGGACAGGGTGTAGTGAATGCATGGCACATCTCTCTGTCTCATGTGGCTTTGGAGTGCATCCTGTGTTTTTAACTATTCACAGTGGGTAGTATCTGAGATTGATAATCCCTGAAAAGGGTGTGCATTTCTTGGTAATGCGATGATTCTTGATCATGAGTTCCTACTCTGTGTCATGTGCTATATCCATTGCCTCCCTCATCCTCGTACAGATTTCATAGATGTAACCAAGGCTCAGAGAGATGAGACAACTAGCCTCAAACCTATGTCTTTCTGATGCAAGAGACCTTGTTCTCATCCACTGTGTTGAAAGAGCCAGGCAGATGAGGGAAGAGGGGATGAGCAATTCAGTTTGTCTCATTTGCTGACTTGAAAAGGCTGTTTTTATCCTGATTCAGAAACTCATTGTTCTTGGTTGGAAGGATTCCCAGTGGATCCCTAATAAAGCGGCTTTGGATAATGGCTGACCTGAGTCCCTGGACCAGCCCTTGGACAGGCCCCTGTGGCCGGCTGGACCCAGGGGTGAGCGGGGCCAAGGAGAGGGCTAGAGATGGTGGGACAGATGAGGGCAGGTCTGAGGCTGAATCGGCCTGAGGCCCTCAAGATAGCCACGAATATGCCAGCAAGGGGAGAGACTGGAGAAAGATTCAAACCTGATGGGGCATCTGTAGACTGCTAACTGTCTCTGACTTTAGGAGCTGATGAAGGAGACATCAGTGTAGTTGCCGGCCAAGCGTCAGTTGCTCTTGGTCTGGCAACAACACTACAGGGGCCGCTGGAAGGACTCACATGGATATGGACCCCTCCCGTTCCTGAAGCTCAGATGGGGCTTACCCACCGCTCTGGCTCTTGGGGTGAGCAGGTGACACTGTCCTGGCCAGTCAGCATATTCCCAAACTTTGACCATAGTGACTGGTACAAGGAGGAGCCTGGAACCCAAACTGGTTAAATGAGGCTTGGTCCCTGGGATTTGGAAAATGAGAAACCTCCTACTGGGGGTACGGGGCTGGGAGGATGGAGGCACATCCCTTGGAGAGAACCTCTAGATGTTTCCATTTCAGCCTGAGAGAGTCCTGACTAACACAGTGAAGTGAGGACATCAGCATACATTTAGAACTTATTGTTTGCTGGGCATTGTACATTATTTTGCTCGTTTCTCATAATGTCCTATCTGGTAGTCATTATTATCCCCATTTCGAAGATTGAGCACATATATAAGTACTTGATAAATATTAGCTGCTCGGTGACAGGCACACAATAAACGCTTTATAAAAATCAGCCTAGTGTTTCCCAAATTTCCCTGATAAGAATCCCTGGGGCTTGTCAGACTGCCAGGTCTCACCCCTGGGAATTCTGCTTCAGTGGCTCTGAGGCGGTGCCCAGGAATCTGTGTTTTAACAAGTGCCCAGAGGATTCTCATCATCGAGGACATCTGGGAAATGTATTCCACTCAACCCCCACCACAGCCTACTGAGGAAGGTATTACAGCCATTTTTATTCAAAGTTGAGGAAAGTGAGGCTCAAGAGAGGTCTATAACCTGCCCAAGCTGACACAGGTGGTGAGTGACAGAGCTGGGGTTTGAACCTGGGTCTACGTGACGTTCACACTCCTTGGGGAAAAGGGATGATAATGACTGCCTGTGTATCTCACAGATTGTGAGATGATGCAAAAGGTTGAAAGAACATGGCAAAGTGGAAAGTGAAAACCACTACGGAGAGAGAGAAATGGCTGTTTATGAAAAAGAAGCCCAAGCAACTCAAATATTTTCTCTATCCAGGGAAAAACAGAAGTCCTAAAAGCCACCTGGTAATTAAGATAATCTACGTGGAAGTTTTTTTCCCTCCCTTTAAAATTTACATGGTAATAAGATTCACTCTTTGTATCAACCACCACAGTCATGCTAGATCTTAGTTTGTAGAATATCTTAGTTGTAAAAAGAAATGGATTTGCACTCTGGGGGGTATCCTAAGTCTCGCTGATGGCCTTTTGAAGGTGTTACAAGTTTTGGCCAAGGCTCGCAAGACCTAGACTCTCATCTTTGCTCTGAGACTAACAGCTGGGTAATTGCAGACAGGCCACCTTTACATCCTGTGAGAAGAGTGATGCAGACTGCATGACTCTGACAGCCTCAGTCGATAGTTTGTTACATTCTTTCCCTCCCTGCCCTGAGGCTCTACTTAGGGCTTTGTTGAATGTGCAGTTTAGGAAAGGCATTCCCTGGTAAAAACTTCGAGGTGACAGAAGGGTTAATGTGGGAGAAACAGCCTTCCTGCTGAGGCAGGAGCTCTCTGATGACTTTCTAAGGTCCCAACGAGTAGACAGCCCAGTCTATACCCACCCACAATTGCCTGGGTCATCCAGCTCGGCCAATAAGGAAGCAGAGAGAAAACTAATCTGAGCTGGGTGCCCAGAGCTCGACACGGGTGCTCTCATTTCATTCTTGTTGTAGAATCTCCCTTGAGGTATTTATTATTCTCCCCACTTTCCAGATGAATACGCTGAGGTTCAGAGACATTACGTCATCTGCTAAACATATACAGCCCAGGAAGGCATGAGCTGTATCAGAACCCCTAGCTTCCTGGCCCGAAATACGGAAGTGTTTCCTCAATTCTCAGGTCCTGTGAAGCCTACAATGAAGTGCAGGGAGATTCATCTCCTCCAGATCTTGGTGGACTAATTTCATACCTTTTCTCAAGAATCTAGCTGTCAGGCCTAGCACACTCCTCCCACTCATCTCTGCAGTTCTCCAGACTTCTACATCTGACAAAATCAGCCTCGCCATGGTCCCTGGGAACAGATGTCTTACGACAAAAATGATCTGAACCTCAGGAACAAGGAGGATGGATCGCTACCTCTGGAGAGAGGGACCCTAGATGTTTTGAAGGATCAACAGCACCTCCTTCTAATGCTTGAAAAATGGAAGAGACAGCAAGGCTGGTGGTACCAGCCTGGGCTAGAGCTGGGAGGCCTGTGTGACTGGGGACGAGCCACCTCCCTGGAGTGTGTACCTCCCAGAAGTGTAAGGAGATACAGAGATGATAGAACTGGTCCAGTGGAGAGGGAGGCATCAATGATGTAGAAGAGACAGAATCTGGGAGAAAATCAGAGGCCTGGGATCCTGTAACAGAAGCTTAGCCTTTGGTAGAGGAAAGGACACTTCTTCCTTTGCGACAGGAAAGAAGGGAGAGAAAGGTTATGGGTGCAGGTGGGTGGGTAGCTTTGGTGTAGGGACGAAGGTAGAGTTCCATCGGCTTTTGAAGGACATACGAGCCAAGGTCACCAGTGGGGTATGGGGTCAGAGAGGGGCAGAAAGGGAGTAGTTGTTTGAAGAGAGACAAGAAGGTATGAGACGTTGTTCTGGGGGCTAGGTAAACCACCACCCCTGGGAAGCCTGGTGGGGGGGTGGGTGAACGCCTATTTACCTGCAACAGATGACCCCGACTTTAAAGGAGGACCTGTCAGCATGGCTCAGCTGCTAGAGTGCAGGCATCAAGGTGGCAGACAGTTGTGTTTAACTAGCCGGACGATTGTAATGCACACAGCGTGAGGCAAAGAAGACGGGGTGTTTAGAAAGTTGTAAGAGTGGACCGTGTGTCCTAAATTGGCTAAAGAGGGAAGTGAGTCATGACTGAGAGTGCGTGAGAAAGCAGGAGACGGTCGGTAGATTGGAGAATGGCTGGAGCTGAAGGATTGTTGGGATGGGAGCACCAAGGTAGGTGAGTGGCAAGAAGAAGAGGCAGTGGTCAGAGAGTGGAGGTGTCCAAGGTGGTGCACTTATTGGTGAGAAGGTCAGAGAAATGACCATGTAGGTAGGATGGAGAAGCATGTCTTCATTGGAGGTGTGGAAGTGAGGAGTCTGCAGAACTGAGAGCCCAAGGTATTAGATGGCTCTTTTTTATTTTTTTAACTGTTAGCTTTTTGTTTTTTGTTTTTTGTTTTTTCTGCCACACCACGAGGCATGCGGGATCTTAATTCCCTGACCAGGGATCAAACCTGTGCCCCCTGCAGTGGAAGCGCAGACTTCTAACCACTGGACCACCAGGGAGGTTATTGAAGTTGCCAAGAATGACAACAGGAACAATAATAGGAAAAAAGATGATAAACCAACTGCTAGAGCCCTCACTAATGAGGAGGCAGATGACAGCAACAAAGAGGTAGACGTGACTCTAAAAGAGGCAGGAGGAGAAATGGAAGCGGTGATGGGGAACGAGAATAATTCTCCAGTTCCATGAGGAGGGGGCCAGCCTGCCCTGTGGCCTCCTCCTGAGAAGACTGCAGGGGAAGTGGCGTCATTAGGCTTCAGTTAGGATAAGAGACGAGGCCCATCAGCTGCTTTCTGACGGACCATACACGCTTCCAGAAAGACTGAGGAGGGGAAGAGCGTGGGAAACAGCCCTGGCTCTCCCTGACACAACCTCCACGTACTTTCAGGTTGGTGGGGGGGGGCAGGGCTAAGGCAGGAGAGAAGGCTGGGTCTTTTCCATTCTGGTGCTTGTGGGAGTCCACAGA